TGAGTTTGCTCACTTCCCGATCTATTGAGCCGACGTGTGACAGTCTCATTGTCACACGTCGGCTCGAACTATGTGGATGAGAGAAAATCACCCACCTCATAGTTCTCCTTTAACCCTTTGTTAGGACAGACAGTGTGCACATGTAATGAGGATAATGAAGATCTGCCAGCACAGTAATTATGGTACACATTGACTTCCCAGTCCCCTCCTTAAGTTCACATAGAAGGGGGAAGATTTTTTTTGCAAGGATAAAGGCAATCATTTTCAGGCCTAAAATGTGGAATATAACATGGGTGCAAAAATTGAAAAAAGGGCCTCAGTCATGAAGGGGTTAAATATATAATGTTAAGTTATGCTATGAGAATGGGAACATGTAACATATAAAGTAGGTGTTATCCCAATTTGGTTGCAAAAGTGGAAAACACTTTAAAGCAGGGCAGACACTGAAAACAAACAATCCTAGGTTTTGGAGATCAGATATTCTGCCATCTTCCTAAACTGAGATTGTTAATAGGAAGTCTTTCAAGATTTAAATAGTTCTGTCATTGAAAAGCTTTTGTTCAAAGTTTCTAAAACGGTAGAGAAAAATGTCCTCACCATCCACCTGTCGCCAATAAATCCGGTAGCCGGAACTTCCAGAAACCACCGACCATGTCAGCCTAACCCGCTGGCGTGATATGTCTATCACCCGGAGATCTCTGACGGGATTTACAGCAACCGGGATGTCCGCTGACCAGGGAAGAAGACACAAGCAAAATGTTAAAGGGGAGACATTTCCTAATAGTTTGGGAAATCATGGCTTTTCTGAGATGGGATTTGGGAAATCATGGGGTTTCTGAGATGGGATTTGGGAAATCATGGGGTTTCTGAGATGGGATTTGGGAAATAATGGCTTTTCTGGGATGGGATTTAGGAAATCATGGAGTTTCTGACATGGGATTTTGGAAATCATGGGGTTTCTGAGATGGGATTTAGGAAATCATACGTTTTTGAGGTGGGATTTGGGAAATCATGGCTTTTCTGAGATGGGGTTTAGGAAATCATGGAGTTTCTGAGATGGGATTTTGGAAATCATGGGGTTTCTGAGATGGGATTTAGGAAATCATACGTTTTTGAGGTGGGATTTGGGAAATCATGGCTTTTCTGAGATGGGGGGAGTTTCTGACATGGGATTTTGGAAATCATGGGGTTTCTGAGATGGGATTTAGGAAATCATACGTTTTTGAGATGGGATTTGGGAAATCATGGGGTTTCTGAGATGGGATTTAGGAAATCATGGAGTTTCTGAGATGGGATTTGGGAAATCATGGGGTTTCTGAGATGGGATTTAGGAAATCATGGAGTTTCTGAGATGGGATTTGGGAAATCGTGGCTTTTCTGAGATGGGATTTAGGAAATGATGGAGTTTCTGAGATGGGATTTGGGAAATCATGGGGTTTCTGAGCTGGGATTTGGGAAATCATGGGGTTTCTTAGATGGGATTTGGGAAATCATGAAGTTTCTGAGATGGGATTTGGGAAATCATGGGTTTTCTGAGATGGGATTTAGGAAATCATGGAGTTTCTGAGATGGGATTTGGGAAATCATGGGGTTTCTGAGATGGGATTTAGGAAATCATGGAGTTTCTGAGATGGGATTTGGGAAATCGTGGCTTTTCTGAGATGGGATTTAGGAAATGATGGAGTTTCTGAGATGGGATTTGGGAAATCATGGGGTTTCTGAGCTGGGATTTAGAAAATCATGGCGTTTCTGAGATGGGATTTGTTAAATCATGAAGTTTCTGAAATGGGATTTGGAAAATCATGGAGCTTCTGAGGTGGGATTTGGGAAATCATGGGGTTTCTGAGATGGAATTAGGGAAATCATGGAGTTTCCAAGATGGGATTAGGAAAATCATGGAGTTTCTGAGATGGGATTAAGGAAATCATGGAAGTTCTGAGATAGGATTTGTTAAATCATGGCTTTTCTGAGATGGGATTTGGGAAATCATGGTGTTTCTGAGATGGGATTTGGGAAATCATGGAGTTTCTGAGATGGGATTTGGGAAATCATGGTGTTTCTGAGATGGGATCTGGGAAATCATGGAGTTTCTGAAATGGGATTTGGAAAATTGTGGAGTTTCTGAGATGGAATTAGGGAAATCATGGAGTTTCTGCTTTTCTTATACAGTTTTCTCAAAGGTGGCAAGGGTACTTACGTGTTGTGACACTTGTGCTGACTGGTTGTCCCTCCCGGTTGCCCACCAGTGCTATGACTTGCACAGTATATCGCAAACCTGCGGTCAGGTTGACCAGCTCAAAGGAACTGGTGCTTCCTGGGACCTCTCTGGATTGCTCCGGACCACCTAGTGATGCAACAGGCAGGCATTTCAGTATTGAGATATGCAGTGACTTCTCCATCAATATTTGTTTTCTGAAATTACCTTTGGTCCTCCCCATTTAAAAAAGGTTTATAAGCACTTCTCACCCTATACATGAGGGGTGGGCAAACTCCAGACCCCCAGCTGCATCTGCCTCTGGGGGGTCATGCTTGGGGCTATCAGTTTCTTGCAATGCCTAATGGGATTTGTAGTTGCACCACAACTGCATGGTTGGAGTTAGCATATCCCTGCTCCACGCTATCCAGCGCTGTCCTCTGAACCCACCGAGACTGCTGGCCATCAGTCCTCGTTTGGCTTGAATGACACTCAACCCACTTTCTGTGAGCCTACGGTGTCCTGGACAATGGCACCGACATGGCATGGCAAGACTACTATATAATTATATTCTAGTAGGCATTAAGGACTGACCACCACAATGCTGGAGGAGGAGAGGAAGGACCTTTCTCATGATGTGACCAGCTGGAAGATACCTAAATTTCAAGTACAATACGCATTATGAAAAATGTTTTACGTATGGGGCGGGAGGGGTTTGAAGGCTTTGAGGATGGCACAAGAACTGGAGTTCTGCATTTAAAAGTGGGGAAAAAATGTTTTGCCTAACGCAAGGAAGAGTTTCAACCTCTGTTCATTAGAAATATTCTGCTCTCTTTGAGTCATGGACAACTACAAAAAGTGCATATTTATTTCTGAATACACAGATCGATAGCAGCAGAAGACATGCAGTGGTCCACAGGGGGTGTACAGGTGTGAGAGCTGAATTGATAAACGCTATATAAAATAGGTAGAGTATTTATACCATCCTCGGGGCTCCATAAAACCCTGTATGCTGTGGCTCCCTGAACACCAACCCACGTCACCCGTATGGTATTCTGGCTCTCGAAGACTCGAAGGCTTGTGACAGCGCCGACTTCCTGTTGTCCTAAGGAGATAGAAAATGAACAATATGAATGGAACATAAACAAGACGGGTTGCCAAAAGTATTTATGTAGGACAATTTATGGAGTAGAGAAGCATTAAAACCCCTGATACGTTTTTATTGCTGTCTGTGTACCTATGGGATAATTTACCTAATTATTCTCATAATCATTGCCTCTAAAACAATTTTAGAGTGGCCACCGGAACAAGAGGTGAGGAAAAACCTTCAAATGAGGATGCCTGACCCACTGACAACTGTCTTAGACGGAACCCCACTCACTTTGTAGAGATTTTCTCTCACTTCCGTTTGCATCTCCAGGAAAGGAATTGGAGAGATAAACCCCAAGATGACAGAGACAGCAAAAAAATAATACATTGATACATTTTATATCATGCAATATGTAGTATAAATTGTATTCTGGCTTACGAGTTTCCGCAGTGAGAGACTGCGCATCGCTCTCTCTTGAGCCTATAAGCGTCGAGACGAAGATAGTGTAGGCGGTCCCGGGCACTAAATCTGTAATATCGACTGCTGTCACATCCCTGGTGACCAGCCGTGACACTTCAACTCCTGTGAGGATAAAACGTATATCGTACGGTTATATCATTACAGACAAAGGAAAATGTTGTGACAATGATCTGGTGAACCTTTCCATTCACCAGCCATGTCAACAGATCAGTACCAATGTTCTGTTCCATCAACAACATTAAACATTGCCTTCTTTCCCCAAAATGTGCAGCCTGATGAGACAAAGCAGCAGTTACTGATATTCAATTGTTTTCTCAAAAGGCTATTAGCTAACAAATCCCCTGGCACATGCAAAGAGCCACCTCATATGGTAGGAATTTTGAAAAAACCCAAAGGTGGTGGTGGGATGTCGCAGAGGCACCCGAGGTATGTAGATGTAGTAAATAGAATGTCTCATGAATCAGGGTTCTATTTTTTTTTATATAACTCTCTTTTTATGAATTATATATCAGAACAAGAAATGTAAACTGATAATTAACAAAGTATAGTTTTGAAATATGTGGAATAGGGTACAAAGCATATCATGGTTAAAGTGCACGTTGAGCTTAATTATCACAACAGATACTTAAACATAATTATTAGATAAAGAGTCAACATCGCAAGCATAAGGCTATCACACCTCAACCTAACCACTGAACTATCACTTTCTCAAACAATTCATCCCCACACAGCTACCTCCTCATGTATCACCTCCCCCACCCTTTTAGATTGCAAGCCCTCACGGGCAGGGCCCTCCTTACCATCTTGTTCTGAATTGCATTGTGATTGTAATGTCTTCCTTATATTGTAAAGCACTGCGCAAACTGTTGGCGCTATATAAATCCTGTATAATAATAATAATAAGGCAATATATGGTAAACTAAATGAGAACAAATAAAGATGTAGGGAAAGAGAGGAAAAAGAAAGTGAAAGAGAAAAGGAATGAAAAAGAAAAGAGAGGGTGCGTGCCCCTCCTTCCAGCCAGGGTCCCTCACAAAACCCATGAGAGGGACGAGATTGGAAAAAGGTTAAATAGGGAAGACCATACACCACCAGGAGGACCAAGTTTTCTCAAATGTAGGTGAGGTGGCCGTTCTGCTGCACAATGTTTGCAGTGTGCCTGCCGCCCCCTTTCCAGCCAGTGCGCCCCAGGTTGCTAAGAGTCAGGAGGGGAGATCTGTAAGGGTCATACACATCTCAGCGTCCCACCGAGCTCCTCGCAACAGTGCGTCACTGGTTGTCAGGAGCTTGGCAGGACGCCGGCAAGAGTGTCCCAGGTGGTTAAGAGCTGGGCAGGGAGGTGCAAAGCCCTTACACATCTCCCCACCGGGCTCTTAGTGGCGTCACTCTCCACCAGCACTACTGCCCTGTCCCCTTATGGCGCGCACCACCAGCAAGTTTTGTAGCTTAACCAGGTTTGTAAGTTAAAGAAGGCCGATAGGAAGAAGTTATTTTCAGAGCCACATTTCTAAACATTTCTAATATAGGCCATAGCCTAGGCCAGCAGGGCTTCCAGGGGTGGTACATGGCCACCTACATATCATGTTCCTGATTGTCAGTGACACCTGTTTGCCAATAATACAAGGTTCTAAAGTGCCACCCAGCCTGCCCATGGGGGAAATAGTCTAGTATCTACTTACAGTTCACCCACTCTGGCTCTGTACACCCAAAACTGAACTGGTGACAGTTTTCCCCGGTGTTCTAGCAGCTTGTTTTAGGTGTACTGATGTAGAATGCACAAATAGGTTCTGTTCTCCACCTCCATCTTTGGTGAGCTTTATTTCCCTGTTACAGCTAAAATTTAAATCTAACCAGGGGTGCTACAAGACAGTTGGCCTAGGGGGGCATGGAGTACAAATCTAACCCTGGTTGATCCTAACTATACCTTACACCTTACCTGCTGAAATTTAGTGAACTTGGCACATGATAACCAGCGTTCACAATGCAGAGAAAAAGTGACGTACCATCTCTACGTCTCCACGTAATCCGGTAGTTTGTGGCTCTGGAGACCGGGCTCCATTCCACACGTATGGTGTTATCAGTAAGGCTCTGGAACCTCAGATTGGTGACTTTGTCCACTGTGTCATCTTCTGCAGAAGCTGTATGAAAATAACAAAGTGTCAGATGGAACAGAGAAGAGCCGGTAGCTCTTAACACTACCAATAAGGAGTGGTACTACTAAGGTGTCAATGGCTGAAAGCCATTTCTGTACAATTTCTAAGCACAGAAATAATTTAACAAAATGACTATCTTGGAAGACGATAAACTTGCTGGGTCATCATGGATGCTACGTTCACAGCGTTTCCTATCATTCCCAGTTGCTGTGTTATGTAACTTGTGTTAATAAGCCATGATCGGCATCAGAGGCCACCCATCCTCCATAGTCTGGAAATAAACCATCTTAAATAGCTGGAGAACATACAGTCTCCATCCAGGAGCACCTGGAACCCAGCCATTGAATTCAACATTATAGTAGCTGAGCTACAATACAACCAAATGTAAGGCTACAGAATTCAGCTATGTCTATGGAATGTCTTTCTAATGTTTCACAGCACATACAATGTTGTCACCAGAACAGGAATAGAGAGAAATATCATACCATACAAGACAGCTTACCTGTCCGAGCTGTGATGGTCACCGGACTGCTTTCCGTGTTACCAGCCAGTGCAGTCACCCCAATGACATACAGATTGTTTGCCTGCAGTCCATCAATGTCATATGATGTTGTCCCCGCAGGGAGGGTTCTGATGGTCTCACGACCTTATGTACAAGCAAAAATAAACATTCTTTAACACATTCATTTTTTCAGCAAACCTTCCTACGATATCAGAAAACCCTTTTCCTATAGTACTAAATGGATGCTTACTAAAAAAAGAGTGCCTCAGTTCCAAAAACTACAGGCCAAATGCAAATGTGCAAGTGTATTATGGAACTATCATCTACTATGAATCTACATACTGACATATCGGTCTGGATGTCACAACACTTCTTAAAACTCAATCTTTCAAAAACTGAGCTCATGATATTTCCTCCCGCCCGTGCACCTTCCCCCAACATTTCCCTTAACATTGATAACACAACTATCCAACCCTCCCCCCATGCAAGGTGCTAGATGTCATCTTTGACTCGGACTTCACCTTTCTTCCCCACATCCATACACTATCCAAATCCTGCCGCCTTCCCCTTCATAACATCTGCAAAATACGCCCCTTCCTCATCAATGAAACCGCAAAATTACTCATCCACTCTCTCGCCTTGACTATTGCAACTCCCTCCTCATTGGCCGACCTCTACACTGGCTACCCTTCCTTCAGTCTATCATGAATGCAGCTGCCAGACTCATTCACCTAACCAACTGCTCAGTGTCTGCAACCCCCCTCTGCCAATCCCTCCACTGGCTTCCACTCGCCCAAAGGATAAAATACAAAAATACAAAATATTAACAACCACTTACAAAGCCATTCACAACTCTGCCCCCCGGCTATATCTCAAGCCCTGTCTCAAAGAATCACCCTAACTGTCCCCTCTGCTCCTCCCAAGACCTCTTACTTTCCAGCTCCCTTATCATCTTCTCCCATGCTCGCCTCCAGGACTTCACTAGAGTCTCTGCCATCCTGCCATCCTCTGGAACTCTTTACCCCAACCTGTCTGTCTATCTCCCACCTCTTGACTGCCTTTAGGCGATCCCTAAAGACTCATCTCTTCAGGGAAGCCTATCCCACCTCAACCTAACCACTCAACCATCATATTCTCAAACGATTCCTCCCCACACAGCTACCTCCTCATGTATCACTTTCCCCTCCCTTTTAGATTGCAAGCCCTCAGGGGCAGGACCCTCCTTACCATCTTGTCTTGAATTGTATTGTGATTGTAATGTCTTCCTTATATTGTAAAGCCCTGCTCACACTGTTGCCGCTATATAAATCCTGTATAATAATATCTAGTCATAATACCTATCAGACTGCAAACGGTACTGACAGTGGAATCAGCCTTGTAATGCATAGTAATTTCCCAAAACACAAGAATATACAAAATAGTAGGTGCCTAGATACTGTCACGGGAAGTGATCTGCTGATTCCAATGAAGAATTATATGCTACAAGTCTTTTTAGTCAAGACGCAGTCTATAGACTGAAGCAGGCCATAGCACTCGATAGAATGGTTGAACCTTTGACTTATTATTTTGTTGAAATCGCAAAGTAATTGTACACATAAAATGCTGCTTTTCAACCACAAAAAGATGGGATCAAAACTTCCCAGGTGAACCCAGTGGAACCATCAAAGACATTGCCATAATTTACTTCCTTTTTGGATTCAATCGTTCAATAAACTGTATAAGGCTGTCAATTGATAGCTCAGTGTTGAACTATCTGGTGATATTCTACTGGATAGAAGTAGTTGACATTGACTGAACATTACCACGGGGTGCTACCACACACTTGGTGATGTTAAAGCATTTCCAATCACAAAAATAACCAAATAAATTAGAGCAAGCTAACACCGTCATTAAATTATTTCATGAGGTTGACAGGAGCCATTGGAGGTAGGTTGTATTAATCTTTTCTGGTCCTTTTTGTAAACAAGTGTTGGTTGAAATCTCCTTAAAATTGCCCAGCACATGTAACGAATAAAAGTGCCTAAAAATGTATGACTTTCACAAATGATCACTTCAGTTAGTAATCACAGAATCAGATCTACCATCACTTAGTCTCCATCTAATCCTGTATCCTGTAGCTCTCGCTATGCCAGTCCAGACAATGCGGATTCTGTTGGCTGTAGTCTCCGCCACTCGAAGGTTGGCCACTCCGCCAATGCCTGATTCTGCTGTAATCACAGGAAGTACAAAATGTAGGGAAAACCTGAGATGAATTTCCATAATTTTTATTATTATTGCTTTAGTATTATTATTAGTAATTTCTATGGATTGATGGGGTTATGTAGTCCAACAATCTCATATTAACATTTATCAATACATACACCAATAGAAAAAAACAGAAATGAAGAGAGAATAGACATGACAGGGAAGGAAGCTGATGTGTTGTATGATACAAGCATCAAAAACCTAAAAAGCATAAAAGAACCTAATAAGCATGGAAACAACCTCAAAATCCTAACATTTTCACGGAGCCTAAAGTATCAGTTTGCCGTTATTTGAGGCCATAAAAATGTGTTTCTTAATAGAACCTTAGCAATTTAAAGGAAGGTCTGGCCCTCCAAAAAAGAGTGAGTCCCTGGCTTTGTGTCTTGTACATGCCAGCACTGAGATCTCCCTCCCATCATTCTCTGATCTGCCCGCCAGGGGAGTATCTGTTGATGCCCCCTACATTTGTGTGCTCTCTCTCTTCCTTTTACATCATCCATAATATAAAATACATTAAAAAAAACCAGCAGGGATGGTAGCAGTCCCTTCTAATGGCGCAATCCCTGGAATTCAGCGCATCCCCATGGGAAACCACCAGGTGGTTTAACTCTCCAACATTTCCCAAAAACTAACTGCGGGTACTATTCTTTTAACATGATATACAGTTTGGACAGACAGGGTGACAACAAGAGAGGAAGTATGATTGGAGCAAAAGATCTAAAACAGAACATACTTAAAAACAAGGGAAGAGAAGTAAGAATGTCTACCCGGAGGTTCATAGTTTGGAGTAAAGAATTGTAGAGATGGCACGAAGCCCCACCTGTTCTGACGTTGATGGTCACAGGCGTTCCTTCATTCGTTCCCGCCACTGGGGTCACCCTCACTACGTACGTGATGCCTTCCTGCACATCGGTCAACTCGAATGTTGTCTGATCTCCTGGAATTACCTGGCTTCTCTCTGTCCCATCTAGGAGGAAACATAAACACAAAAGGTAAAGCCAATTACACGATTTTCTATACTGCATTAGAAACCATCTCCAGACATCCTGCAATGACGATAATATTGGGATTATCAAGGACCAACATTCAAAGGACTGAAAAGTCTTTTTAGATTTTTTTAGATGTATCTGTATAAGACATACGTTTGAAGTAACAAATCTTCATGTTTTTAGGTATATTTTCTATGAACAGGGCAGCCATGTTTCTCCATTATATACCCAGTCTCCGTTTCCTATTTTATTGTACTACACAATGGTTACTGCCTCTTAGATGGCCGAATGACTGAAGCTGGCCATAGGCATGGCAAGTGTTCCATATGCTTTTTTATGAATCATGTGAAGTGTGAATGGGACCTGACACTAAATTCAGGATTTAAATCTTAAAAATACATTCAAGAACCTTAACTATGAACAACAATGTATCTTATTTGTGTATCACTCGGCTGTAGATCCTCAAATCATCTCTGAATTGGTGCTGACACTGTCCTTCCTTCTGAAGGGGGGCTACTTTTGTTCCCCATGGTCCCTGTGTGTGTTGTAAAGTAGTCACCACTCCAAGCTCACTCTTGTGTTGGACTACAATCTTACATTTAGTTTACTAATTTGTATTGAGATTGTAGCCCATCACAGGAGGGAGCTTGGAGGAGTGACTACTTTACAACACGCACAGGGACCATGGGGAACGCAAAAAGCCCCCCTCCAGAAGGAAGGACAGTATCAGCACCAATTCAGAGATGATTTGAGGATCTACAGCCGAGTGATACACAAATAAGATACATTGTTGTTCATAGTTAATGTACTTGATTGTATTTTTAAGATTTAACTCCTGAGTTTAGTGCCACTTTAACAAAAGAAACTCAAAATTATAGACAGCATGGCCATTATCCCTCACTAGGTAAGAGAACTAAAGAGGTTGCAAGAAGGTTACTTGATGATTAGCAAGGCTTGCTGGGATTCTCTTGGGACTTCCAATTATAAAATGAGATTATTGATGGTCCCGTGTGTTCTGGACAGTTCATTTGAGCTTAGCAGTTGTGAAAGCAAATTTGGAACTCACCTTCGGAGTTTCTGATGAGGATTCTGTATTCGGTGGCTCTAGGGACTCCTCTCCAGGCCAGGCGGATCCGTTGTCCTCTTGCTTCCAAGGCACGAAGGTTTGTCACACCGCCAATCGACGCTGCTTCTAATCATGTGAACAGAATGAAGATAATTGGGGATTTAGGGGAAAAGCTGCAATCAAATTATTTCATACCTAAGCCATAAACAGTATAAGAATACTACAGTTTATAGGAACGCCTTAAAACTGTGACCATGATGATGCTAAATAAACCCAATAAACATGTTGATTTCCACACCAAACTGATCCAATGCCGATAGTCCTGAATGTGCTGTTTCTATAGAGCACATGACTTCAATGCAGAATCTAGACACATGCACAAATGGAAATGTGATAAGGAGAGCGCTGACATGTGCCAGTGTTTTCTGTGTTACATGAAAGAAGGTACCCAAAGGGGGCTATTTATAAATCTTCTGCCTAGCCATATGCTGGTCAAATGCTGTTCACACAGCATTTCCAACACTAGATGCAGCCAGAGGTTTACCTACAACAAAATGCACCCCTGGCATCCCTCCCAATCCTGACAACCAGTGATGTCACTGGTTGACAGAAGTTGGGCAGGACACTAGTCAGAGCATCCCAGGTTGCTAAGAGCTAGGCAGGGAGATGTGTAAGGACCATACACATCTCCCTGCCCAGCTCTTTACAACCCTTGGATGCTCTGGTCGGCGTCCAGGCCACATACACATTTCCCTGCCTACACTGGTTGCTAAGAGCCGTGTGGGGAGGTGTGTAAGGCTTTTATACATCTCCCCGCCCAGCTTTTTACAACCTAGGGCGCTCTGGCTGGTGCCCCACCCAGCTCCTAACAACCAGTGATGTCATCCGTACCCAGGAGCTGGGGTGGACGCCGGCCAAAGCATTACTGGTTGCTAAGAGCCGGGCCGGGAGACATGCCCAGGACATGTGCCATACCCTGGATTTACCACTGAATGCAGCCAAGGAGCCGCTCTCTAGATGACCAACTGCTTGTATCAGGGCTGAAGGCTCTTGGGAGTAGTCTTGAGGCAATGTGCAGTGATGTTTTGCACCCTGCCGGCCCCTCCCACCTGCCATGATCTGCCTGCATTATATAGAAAAGCACAGAGACCTATCGATGACATAACTGGATCTAAAATAAAATAATAAAATATCTAAAACTTTTTATCTAAAACTGTCATGTTGATGAGGGCAGAGGGAGGATCCAGGGAAGACAAAATATAATCAGATTACACTTCAGCTTCTTACTTTATGTTGAGCTCCTAAAATGATAAATAAGAAAGGCCAAAGGTCTTTTCTTCACCTTGTTTCTGAAATTACCTGTCTGGACAGTGATGGAAACAGCCGAGCCCTCCCTTCGACCGATCAGCGCTGATATAGACACCTCATACGACGCACCTTCTTGAAGACTGTTGAGTTCAATCGTGTTTTGGTTGCCTGAAACTCGTCTCACTCTTTCAAAAGATCCTGTAAGATCAACATATTTTACACAAATAAGTCGCTAACTGAAGAACAAGCGCCATGACACCTCGAGCCGTATAAAGCAAAGAAGGTGAATGATCAATTAGGGAACTGCAGGGGCGTCCCGAGGCGTGGTGTCATCTGGAGCAGCCACCGGTGACACCCCGATTGGACGTCATCACACATGCCCATGACATCATGCGCATGATGAGGTCACGCACGCTTACCTGCCGGTGCCATCTTGGTGATGGGCGCCAGCAGGGCTGTAGCTACCATGGGGCGAGTGAGGCACTCGCCTCAGGCGCAGCTGAGAGGGGGCGTAGTCAGGGCCGGCCTGGCTGCGCCCCCTTTCCCCTGTTGCCATGGCGAGCACAGGGCGCCAGGCAGCCAACACAGTCGTGGCTCGGCAGGAAGAAGAGGAGCGGCACATTCTCCAGCTTATCCTCGAATCCCTGCTGCTCTCCCCTGCCTGTATGGGCAGAGGACTCTGCGTCCTCAATCTCTTTCTATTTTAAAATAGAAAGAGATTGAGGATCTAGCTGCAATGCATAGAAGAAGCACAGAGACCCAGTGATGACATCACTGGAGCTACAATAAGGCATACAATGCCAACATAAAGCTTTTATTTAAACATTTCATTAGCATGTTGATGAGGTAGAAAGGAGGAACCAGAGAAAGCAAAATATCAGCAGATTACACATCAGCTGTTAGAGGTAGATATCAATGGGTTCATTCCAAAGTCCCACCCGGCTACGTTTGCAGGGCACTAGCACACGAGTATAGGAAATTCCTATACTCGTCAGCGCCATCTAGGGGCTCTGGTGAAAATGAACCCCTTACTGTAGGACATACATTATCTTTTCATTTGTTCTCCCAGAACAAACAATTGCGTTTCTAAGCTGTTTACAGACTGGCACTGAGAATTTTCACCAGGACGCCATAAAACCAACTACATGTCCTCACCATCGGCGCTGCGAATCACCACCTTGTATTCCGTAGCGCCCGCCAATGCCGTCCACTCCAAGCGGATTTTTTTGCCGCTGACATCTACAAGGCGCAGGTTGGTAACCGTACCGACAGGACCTTGGTTAAAAGAAACAGGAAATGTTTAAAAATGACAGGACCCAAAACTATTAACAGGTGAATACAAAAACAATAATGATGTGCCGTCCGTCCGTTTTTTTACTACGGGCGGACGGCAAGAGGTTAAAGAGGAACTTTACGCGTATTTTTAAAATAACAACAAACACACCTTTAGAAATGTTTAGTGATGACAATCTACAAACAGATACTTCTAGATAATTTCCGGCTTTGTATTCTTTGCATATCTTATTTTCCTTTTCCTCCCCATTCTTCCCACAGTGGCCATTTTTTACTAAGGGCAGATTAATATATCTCCCTTTACTTCCTGGAACTCTGACACATGTGACTAGGACATGTGACCATGCACATCATCTCAGGGGAGGAAAATTTCCCTGAGATTACCTGTACAGAGGTACAGGTCATTTTACTAACTCAAACACACACACACACACACACAACCACATAGGTTGAACTCGATGGACTCGTGTCCTTATTCAACCTTACCTACTGTGTAATCTATGTAATCTCGTGAGATTTCCCAGCAATGGGCTGCTGATGTAATCTTCCCAGGATGCAACACTTGGTCACAGGCTGCATCACTAATGACCAAGAGGACCAGGAAGTAGAAAGCAATCATTGTAAGTAAAATAAAATGATGCTTGTTTAACTTATGAATGTAAGAAGATTTCACATCTACATGCAGAGCTGAATGCTGATGTAGTTTTTAGAGAAAGGGGGTAAAGGTTCGCTTTAGGGAAAACTCCAATTTGAGTTCAAATATTGATACAACATATTTAATTGTAGACAATCCATTTTTTTTTTTTTCAATCTCAACTGAATAAAGTATATCTAAAGCAATTTTTAACATTTTTGGATAGGGTATAAAAGTGTTAGAGCCTCTATCATTCGTTTACTGATGTCAGTGCCCACATTGCTGAGATTCACACTCTCTATTTGTCCTGAAGGCCATTGTGCCCAAGGCCGAAAGTACTGGGAAATCCACAAAGTTTACAGTTGTCACCAGAACAAAAAGTAAGGGGTAGAACTTCCAATGGGGACAACTGTTGTGGGGAATTCTTCTTACTTTGTAGAGATTTCATCTCACTTCCTGTTGCAGTGGCTGTTGGACAGGAAGTAAGGGGTAATCTTCTTTGTGGGATACAGCAAAAAATAAACTGGCTCTACTTTATCCAAAACTTAAAAAAAAAGACTATACACTTAAAATATACATTTTTAATTTATTATGTTTCAAACTGTAAACAACTCTCTTGCAACACAGTAGCTGTGTATTGATAGAGTTATCCCACAACTCATATCCCCCTTCTCCTGTAACTGGCTCGTTGCCTTTCCCAGGAGAATACACAGAGCTTGAGGTCATACCAAAGACATCCCCTGCAATGTCCCTAGGTTTACTTCAGAAAGAACTTTATCTTTGGCGGGACAATTGCTGGGGAGTGCGACATTTTTACGACACTACTGAAACTGGTGAATACACGTGGTGCCCTGCTGATAGACATTCCTCCAAGTGGTCACGTCGTGCCTGCATAACAGATCACCTCCATTTGTTTGTGGCTAGCATTAATAAACCAGGAATAGCTAGATATGCTTCCAGTCTGGAACAATGCATTCAGAGATCACCGATTGGTTACAGCACAGGTTTGCTTTGCAGTAGAAGGTCAAGTTTGGTTTGACTCACCCGTTTCATAGGTGGTTGCTGGCGTTGCCACCTCTCTGCCATCATACAAGGTGAAGAGTGTTATCCGGTACTCTGTTCCTGGCCGCAGCCCGGTAATTTCATATTGGTTGGTGGTAGTAGGGAGATTCACAATCTGCGGAGCCTTAGGACCACCTAGAAGACAGGTCTATGATTAACTACTTATATCTATTGACTTGCTTATGCTTATACTCTTCTGCTCTGGTACTTTACCAATCTTAGTACTGGTTCTAAACATACGTGCCTCTTACCTCGAGCTTGCCTCCATTCCAGCCTGTAGCCGGTAGCCTCTGGGATGAGGTTCCATGTCACCTGGATTGAAGTGGGACTGTTGGCAAACGTTCTCAGTTCCTGGACAATCCCCGATTCTAGGCAAAAATGCAGATGTTTAGTAACGGTATTGGCAAACCCGCAGTTGCACAAATTATTAAAGCTTTACGTAGACACTGAATGGCTTATGTACTTAGGAGGAGAGTGATGGGCAAGGTACAGTAACCAGAACTCCCAATCAGAGCATATTTTTGCTGATTTAACTACTGGCCAATTCAAGGTAAAAATATGTAGAAAATATGTATAAGAAGATATTACCATCGGTTAAAATCCAATGTCAGAATAATCAGTAGGTCTAGAGATCTTGGCTCTGAGACCTCTTAACTCCCAAGGCTCATCTACTGGGATGGCTGGCCCCATTCATCAATTGGAAGACCTAGATGGACCTTTGAAGGGACAGTGAAGACTTTGCAAGACTTGTCCTTATCTCCGGATCTACTGATCATTCTAGGATCTTTACTAATAGTAACCTCTGCTTATACATTCATTTTTGCACCTCATGCTTAGTTCTACTTGCCCATGTTCACTTTAAACTGCTAAAAGTGGAGAAGACTTAATTCCCCCATAATTATCACATATAAAGGATATTTTTGTTCATTTGAAACCTGTAGATACATCATTGCTATCACAATAGACTGGACCAATTTTAATTTGCTCACCAAACCCTTTCGTTTTCCAGCGGCCTACCTACTCTATCGTGTTCTCCCCTCCCATTTTCTTCAAACAAACATATAATTGGTGATAGTATTTAATAGCCATACCCTTATGGCTTATGTATGCAGTCTGAATGGGTTACCAGTGCACCACAGTGTAATCAAATTGCACACCACCCTTTTGTTTGGATGCAGTGCACCACAGCATCTGTGGCCCACTACTGTACAGTGTGTTGAGGTGCTTCAACGCATTAGTCTGAATGGGTACTAAGGGGCCTGTGTAATGGGCTTTGGGCTTGTGTCGATGGAATCAGTTTCACATCAGTGTGAGATGCCTCTGAGATCATTCAGAATTTACTGACATGTGCATATGACCTGCAGTTGACTTCCTTCTGACCTGCAGTTGACTTCCTTCTGACCTGCAATTGACCTCCTTCTGACACTCAGTTGACCTTCTGACCTGTAATTGACCTCCTTCTGACAATTAGTTGACCTTCTGACCTGCAATTGACCTCCTTCTAACCTTCAGTTGACCTACTGACCTGCAATTCACCTGCTTCAAGTAGGTTTTGCATTCCTATAGAATTGTAAGGGAATGCCAAACATGCTTGAAGGGGGAAAAAAGCCGTCCACACAGGTCCTAACAGAGCTGCTAGTTCCGGGCGATCCCGATTCTGAAACATGCATTAATGCCAGTGAGTTCTGAAAATTATTGGCCTGCATATTTAGTTCACGTCTCAAGATGGGGAAGCCAAGGTCTGAATGACAACCCTGGAGCCAACACCTCAAATAATATGTCAATAATGAAATCTTCCATATTTCTCTCCCCAGAACTTCCTTTAAAAATCCTTCAGATTTGTTTTTAAAACTCAGCTCAGTTGTGTGATGGTTGCCGTTGCACACTTTCCTCTTTAACACTGGCCTTGTAGCATAACAAAAGTTCCAGCAATCTAATTATTATTGCCTATTTTAAATCTGGCCTCTCCTGAGTGAGAACATGCAGCCAAGGAGATAATAGAGGTAAAGAAAAGATTTGTTCCCCTTCATTAAATCTTTAGCCTGCAACCATCCAAGCATTACCACCAGGAGTCTTGAAAGGAAGACCAACAATGGAAACGGTCACGTAGAGGTCATATATTTTGGAAACGAACAGAGAATCAAAAAATAAATCACATTCAAGCTTGTGGTCCATTCAACCGACTGCTGTTCCTGTCCACAAGGGAGTTTTTGGTGTTTCTGCCCATCTTGTGTGTTCCAGCTCCTCCTGTTACATTCTCCATGATATAAAACCAATAAAAAATCCAGCATGAATGGTGGAAAACCGTTACAGAGGCTACAACAGGTGTGCAGGTCCGGATACTCAGACATCTCAACTAAAGAATCCCTATAGAACTAAAGGTTAATATTGAATGGGAGTCCCTATGGATAGAAGAAACTGCCCATGGACTTAAAGAGACCCTTTCACTTAAAAAAAACAACTATTATTCATTGTATATACCTTTCCTGCTTCTGACACTGCTCAACACTTCTCTATTGCAGAGAAATGGTCTCCCAAAGTCAGCTAGGAAGCCAACACTTCCGGAAGTGTTAAGCTCCTGGGTCCCCCACAGCTCTCACTGGTTCCTGGATACAGCTGGATACATCAGTAAAATGGACCTCATCAAGAAGAACCAGTGGGGGCTGTAGGGGACCCAGGAGAGTGACACTCCTCAATAGAGCAGTGTTGAATGGCATGGACAACAGGAAAGGTAAGTATACGTGCACTCTTTTCTATATGTGCACTCTTTTGATTAAAAAGTTTCATAATGTGACAGGGTCCCTTTACCTATCCAGCATCCAACAACTGAGATGTCATTTTTTTTTTTTAAATGATCCGACCCTTTAATAATAAGGGATGGGAACTCTCACTTACAACAAAAGGGTTGAAGGTTTAAAAAGAAAAGGGATGAGAGATGATTTCATTATTAAATATGAATAAACCCGAGGGTAGTATAGAGTTAGTATAGAATTGTAAGGGAATGCCACACCTGTTTGAAGTGAACAAAAGCCCGTCGACACAGGTCCTAACAGTTCCAGGTGATCTATTAGTATAACAATTTGGCAAATATGACACCAGGATCTCAGCTTGATGCATTTGTAGAATGCCATTCAGTTTACTTGTAGAAGTGGCATACCAGATTACCAGCAGGTGTTGCTACAGTAATTTTTTTTTTTTATTATAGGCATTTATATAGTGCTGACAATTTACACAACACACATTCATATCAGTCCCTGCCCCCAAGGAGCTTACAATCTAAGGTATCTATCTCATATACAAGGGCCAATTTAGACAGGAGCCAAATAACCTTCCAGCATGTCTTTGAAGTGTGGGAGGAAACCGGAGTACCTGGAGGAAACCCAAACAAGCACAGGGAGAACATGCAAACTCCTTACAGACAGTAACCTGGCTGGGATTTGAACTGGGGACCCCCAGTGTTGCAAGGCAGAAGCACTAACCACTACAACACTGTGCTGCCCATCATCCTCTAAAATCTAAAATTGTCATCTGGTTGTAGGAGAGTCAGGGAAAATAATTTTTTTTAAATGCCTTAAAAAAAGTTCAGATTTTCTTTTTAATTCGATATATATATATCACTGGGCTGGCTTCTTATCTTTCTATGGGAGTCTAAAGGTGAGATCTCCCTTGATGTTGTCAGGCCCACCCCCTGCTCTGGATCTTATGAGAATATCACAGGTTCGATGTATTCACAATATGGAGGAACCACAAAGAATATATAAAGCCGAACCTTTAAATTCTCTAATAATTATTTGTTACATTTGAATGCTACCTGTTTTCACCCTATTAGATGTCGCTGGCCCCTCTGTGGCCCCAAAAAGTGGACTGACGGACACGGTGTAATCGGTGCTGGGCTCGAGGTTCTGGATGAAGTAAGTCTCAATAGATGGACCGACATCAAAGTCTTTTGTGTCATCCCCTGAAGAAATACAGAAAAAATAAAGAATTAGCAAGACCAAGAAACAGGTGGAGAGAGTAAGGGGGTAGAGGGAGGACAGAGTTAGGAAGAATGGTAGGGAGAAAGAGGGG